TCTTTTGATAATCGATGCAGGTGAAGATAAATTTGAATGGTGTTGGTATTTGATCTGTAATGATGATGCTGGAATGAGGTTTTATTGTTTCAATAGGGAGAGAGAGAGAGAGAGAGAGAGAGAGAGAGAGAGAAGGTGGGGCCTTACTTATTTTATTAATTATTCAAATAAAAAAAATTAGTATTAGATTTAAAAGAAATGAAAGAAAAATGGAAAATAAATACCCCAAGGGTATTACAGTCATTTCACTATTCACAGGGACCAAAAGCACGACGAAACTAGCTCAAAGGACCATGAAGCCAAAAAAATCGATGTTTGGACTAAACCTCAGAAAAAATGCATACCACATGGACCATTTTTGCAATTTTGTCTTATATTGTATGTTTTTATGATTTTTTTATTTGGTGGTCTGGACAACCACCAACCAATTAGAAAAGCCAGACTTAATTAAAAAAAAAAACTATATACAAGGACCATTTATGTTACTTACTTAACGACAAATTCCATAAAGTCACTAAGATTTCGCAAAAAATTGATTTTGACACTGCATGTTTTGTGTCTCAAATTGGATACTCATTTTACCAATTTGTTATAATTCTAATAACTTAACTGGTTAACCAAGTAGTAAGTTGATGTGACATGTTGATGTGTCAATTTTGATAACGTGATATGCTTACATGGCATATGACATGACAATATTTGGTGAGATCATATTCTAGGTGTCAAAATTAAAAAAAAAAAAACTGGAATGTAACGACATTTATGATAGTTATCCGAAATACAATGACTTTTGTGAAGTTTCCATGTATGATCATGTTGATAAATTAAGTATGCTTTAAATTAACCATGTTTTGTTTAACAACTTTAAAAAACCAATAAATATTTTAAAAAAAAAAATATTTATTCTTTATATATTTGGATGCTATGTTAAAGTAAATATTTGATTGGTAAGATAAACATTTTCAAATTTCAACCAAGGGATGGTAAATATGTATAAATAGTATTCAATGATTAAACTAAAAGTTCAAAATAGTTCATTAATCATTAACAACATTATCCAATTTGTAAATGATAATATTTTTAAAATTTGATATGTATTGTGATATATAGTTGAAGACAACCTGTATTTCTACCAACATTAAAGCTACAAGCATTGATGAAAAAAGAATGATTAAGAATCAAGGAAATACATCCGTGAAAAAAGAATGATTAAGAATCAAGGAAATACATCCGAGATCCTGCATTATATTCATATAGTTAAAAAAAATCATCATTTTTTTTCATTATCCTTTTTAGTCCGTCATTTAAAGATTTTGAAGAACCTGATAGAAACTTTGCTAGTGAATGTACATTTTTAGGTTGAGTTCACATCCGATGTGATCTCTACGATATAACTATCTACAAGCTTTGAAACTTTCCTTAATTATTTTAAACTAGTGAAGAATCCCGCGTTGCGGGTGTTGGAATATATTTTTTAGCCTTTTATTAAAAAACAGGAAATAACAACAAACTATACAATGATTTACATACAGTGGCTCTAATTTTTCCTATGTTCCTATAGGAAAAAATAATGTTAAATGTTGATAATTGTAGAAGGTACAAAAATGAATGTCAATTGGTTTCACAAAAGGAAAGTAAAGAATGGAATGGAATTACTCAAGAAACGAATGGAATGGAATTACTCAACATCATTATCAGACATCTTGTAATCCCTGGATCACAAAAAGCCATTGTTTTATTGTTGTAAATGTAAGAAGTAAAACATGTATAAAGACCATTCCTAAAAATTTATAACACGTGAATCTTGTAAAAGTTAATTAGAATGATAAAATTGGACTGAATTATAAAGTTAATACAAACAATAATCCAATGAAACTCCTCGGATATCATCATTCTGTTACATTTGTTGTAAACGCTTTACCCAATCTTCTTATGAAAAATCCATTGAATCTCTTTTATATGTATCTGCGATTCAACGACATACAAATCCATTAGAAAAATAATAAGAGAAAACCCATTGATCAAATTCCCTCTTATTGGAAAAGTAAGAAATAATCACTAAAAAACAAAACTTAGAATTTACCTCAAAAGATTTTGATTTGTAGTCTGTGGAAAAAAACTAAAAACCAAAATACAGGGGCAAATTTTTCCATTTGATTTCGCAAGCCAAAGGGCAAAGACTAGCACATAAACTACCAACTTTGAATCGGATACTCAAAATTTAACCATTCAGCTTAATAAAATCGACTAACCCACAAAGTTACAATACTAAAAAACGGTTTAATCAGTTGTTATTCTAAAAAACAATAAGATTAAAACATAATTATAAATAAAGATTTTGAAAACAGAGGGCTTACTACTGTCGGGACTGCCAAAATTTGACAGTTGATCTTTCTTTGTGATGTAGCCAATGCAGGATACATGTGGAAGCTAACCATGTAACCCACAAACATGACTTAAAGTTCCAACAGAAGAAGCATCGCTTTTATTGACAAAACCCACATCAAAGTAATAACAATCATCAACCTATATAAATTTTATGCAAGTGAACCTGATTTCTAAAAAATAGAATGTTATAAAAGATGTTTTTTTTACTACTACCTAGTGAATAGGTACCAAAGATTCAAGGTTTCAACATTGGGTTGCAACTTACAATACACGTAAGTAATCTATTGGAGAAATTGATTGTTACTTTTCATGTGAATAGGTACCAAAAAAGTTTAACAGAAAAGTAAATTTTCAATCCATAGAGTTTGAAAGAATTAAACATGACTATATTAGCAAAAGAATGGACAAAAAATTAAAATAATGAGCTTACCTTCCAAAGAGGCCAGTTTGCCAAGCGTTAATGTCATCCAAGACTAACGATATGTTGTTATTTAATGAACACACCTGGAAAAAAAATAAAAAGACAAATCATTTTCAATGGAGAAAAAAATAACAACTATAAAGAAGCTTGCATGACATAAAGGTATTACCTTTTAAATGTCTAATATAGAAGTAGCAAATCATAACATAAACACTAATCTTGTTTCAAAAAATAAAACCTAATTGACAGAATCACAATTATAATAAAAACATTAAGATTCGTTTCTATTCTATTAGTGCTCCACATTCATATGAAAACCTTTTGATTCTCAATAGACAACAATCCTTCAATTAGATTGTTTCAAATTTAAGACATAAATTCAAGTCCAATCACTAGTCGACATAATAATCGACCACAGAAAATGCAGTTAACTATGAGTAAACATGAGCTGATAAAAGAAAACTTCAACTTACTTAAGTCTATAAGAAAGTAAGCTTTCGTCAAGATCATTCAAGAATATCTATACATATGAGTTTATGACTGTTCCAGGAGATCCATTAAACCCAAATAAATTTCTTCAAAAAGACCTAAAATGAAAGAGTGAGAAAAAAAAAAACAATAGAAAAGCATATAATGAGAAAAATTCTATAAATGGTATTCGTCTTTACTTCCAAGATATCAAATTTTTTCTTATCCTTCCTCAATCTGAAATAGAATAAAGATTCTTTAAAAAGGTTTCGGGTTTAATTGACGGTGACATAAATGGAACCTGAAAGCTGAAACGTGAAAGAGGTCTTGGACTTGAATCAAAGTGATAGAGATAGATCGAACTGTAGATGCGTTGCTGCTAGGGTTTATGAGAATGAGCTGTTTGCTCAATTGGCGTCGCCATTCATCGGGTTGATTTGAGAGAGGAAAAGAAATGAAGAAAATGAGAAAAATCGGGTGTTCTCTACAAAAGGAATCGGCAACCGACGTCAATTTGGATCCACCGTTCTTCCTCCAATCTCTCCTGACGGGAAAATAAAATATGAAACAGTAAGACGTCACCATTACTTCCACTGTCGATGAGTTTAGGCATTTCTTTGGTAGCGATGGTTTTCCTGTTAACCAATTGACAAGAAGAAGCATTAGGTGGTGGGGTGAGAGAAGCAAATAAAAAGTGGAGGAACGACTACCGCAGAGTGAACCTGAATCACTTCTTTGCTGATCACTTCGTCGCCCCTTACAAATCCATCCGCCCGATGACATACAAAATGCAAGGACTAATAGGTGAGGCAGTGATTATCCACATAGGAGACAGAAATGGCAAGCTCCAAAACGGGGCAAAACCCGGGGACTATTATACCAGTGGGAACCATCCAGAATGAAAAAGAGAGAAATAGATAAAAAGGAACGCGGTGAGCAATTGAGAAAGAAACGTGGAAGAATAAGAAGCTGAGTAGGCAGTAACAGTAGACGTAGCTGTGACATATGTAATGCATTATAGAGATTAAAAATTGATAAAAAAAAAAAAAAAAAAAATTAGCCAATGAGAAAAAGTACTATTTGCCTGGATTTTTAAAATTAGTATGTATATATAATTACTAATTTTTTTTTTTCAAAATTTATAGAAAAAATGATAATTCTTTCAACAAAATTTGTATTATACAACGTATCGGAATCAATATAATGATCATTGATTTATTAAACATAAATATTTTTTGATTTTGTAGACGTTAAACAAAACACAAAATAATTTAAAGCATAATTATTTTATCGATATAATCATTCATAAAAACGTTACAATACTTAATATATATTGGATAAATATCATAAAAGTTATTAGATTTTATCAACTTCATAAAATTTGCTATATTTTGGACAACTATCACAAAAAGACACTATATTTTATATTTTATTTTCAATTTCACACATCATGACATATTAACATACCACAAGGACATTAACAATTTAAATCAGCTGACAATCTGATTGATCGGTTAATTAACGAATGTATGAAATTAAAAAAAAAAAATACAATATAAAATGAATTTTTTTTATGAATGGTTTTTGTGGAATATGCCAAAAGACTCCCAACTTTAAACGAACGTGACCATTTCAGTAATTTATTCATTATTTTATAATTTATAAAGAGTCACCGGATCACGAGAACACCAACTAGGCAACTAACGTCAATGATTTTTTTTTAAGGTGAACGGGAAGGCGCCATTTTCATTGATCGGCATTCGACAGGACGACAACAAAGATACCCCGTTGACTACCGCCGGCAGAGGCGGAGAGAGAGATGAAGGAATACGTGGGCATGGTGGCAGCACAGATCGCCCAAGTGCTGCTGATTATAGTAAGCAAGTACGCCATTGCTGATGGCATGTCCAACTACTCCTTCATTTTCTACTCCAACGCCCTCTCTTCACTCATCCTTCTTCCCTTTTCTCTCATCTTCCACAGGTAAATTAGGTCAATCTCCTCAAATTTTCACTTCATAGGACTACCTTGATTCGCATTTTAATAAGTTTCTATGGTTGGTTGCAGATCGGCCAATCGTCCTCCACTTACCATCATCGTCATCTGTGGATTTTTCATTATTGGCGTACTAGGGTATGTAATCTGTAACCATACATTTTAACGTGAAATTTGTGGTGTTCTTTGTGTATTCCTTCCGTTTGTATTCATTATTTGACCTGATGTTGCTCGAATTCCAGTCTGATCGACAAACACTGACAGGTTAATTTTTGAAGTTTCTTCGCACAGGTATTTGGGTATTCTGGTATCACATTATCCTCTGCTACTCTTGCAACGACATTGCTCAATCTCACCCCAGGTTTTACATTCCTACTCGCCATCTTATTTAGGTAAAAACTCTCTTAATGCTATCTAGTTTAGTTTCCCCATGATTTACTGATCTTAACTTAATGAAACAAAACATCGAGTCTCATTCAATTCAGATTGATGGTTTTAGGATGGAAGCATTTGACTTAAGCTTAACCACACAGGCAAAGTTCATCGGCACTGTAGTGTCAATCGCAGGAGCTATCATCATAACTCTTTACAAAGGCCCTTCGATTCTATCATCTTCTTTAAAATCAGAAATCTCTCAGCATCTTCTTGTGAAACCATCAGATTGGGTACTCGGTGGCATCTTTATAGCAATCACCTCCATACTTTCTTCAATGTGTTTCATTGGACAGGTGAAATGGTACACAAAAAGCTGATAACATTTGGATTATAACTCAATTCTTTTTCTAACTTTTTTCTGTTTTGCCAATGAATTCAGGCAACTGTTTTAAAGAAATACCCTGCAGAAGTGATTGTAATGTTCTCTTACTGCAGTGTCTACACCATCTTATCAGCTCTAGCTTCTTTCATTGTGGGAGATGATCGGAGTTCTTATAGTTTAAGGCCTAAGAAGAGGCTGCTTTTTGTCCTCTACTCGGTATTTTTTTTTTTTTTGCTAGATTATTGATTTTGTCAAACACTTTTTGAACTGAAAGGAAACAAACAGGGGATTTTTGGGTCAGCTTTTCAATTTACAGTTCAAGCATGGTGTCTAAAAAGGAGAGGTCCAGTTTTTATTACTATGTTTCATCCAATTGGAATTGTGATCTCAACTTTCATTGGTGTCATTTTCTTAGGTGATGGTGTCTATCTTGGAAGGTGAAAATCTTTTCAATTTCATCCGCTTAGTTTATTGTTTATCCTATTTCACATCACTACATTTTGTGTATCTAAATTGTCATTGACTCATTCGCATTGTACTTTGTGCAGTTTGTTGGGATCAGTAGTTGTTGTTATTGGGTTTTATTCTGTTATGTGGGGAAAAGCTAAAGAAAAAATTGTGGTGTTTCGTAATGAAGAAGCACCTCTTTTGCAAGATGTTGAGGAGCAGATTACATCTCTCTCACCATGATACTCAATCTCTTAACATGAATTATATCATTGTTTTTTTGAAAGGAAAACAATTTTTTTTTTTTCGTTTGAAGTGATGTATGTACAAAGTGGGTGAATGGGTGTCTATGGGATTAAGGTTTTAAACAATATAATAGCAAAAAAAAATAAAAAATAAAGATAAATAAAAACAGAGGGGTAAATTATGTTATTTTACAAGCATTATAGGGTGTTGCTGGAGTCTCACAGTGCAAAGATTTTTGAAACTTAAGGACCTACAATGCAACAAATTCCTCATAAAGACCATCTACAATACTTTTGATAAACCACAAGGACTATTTGTGTTTTTCTGTCCAAAATTAAACTCGTACGAACTTCAAACTTGGTTATACACGTCAATCCAGCAAATATATTTATTATTTTCCATTACTAACTTTTCAAAAAAATTAAATAAATACGACTTCATTTAGCCCTGATCGATATATATAGTAAATCAGAGCTTCACCTTACTTGTGGAAGATCAAGTTGATGATAATATTTTTTTTTAAATCAAAATCTCTTAGATGGTATGTAATACTCTATAAAAATCTCAGGTTGATCATTGATGCACTAATTAATCAATCTGAGCAATTGGTTGAGAGAAAATACAAGTCTTATGTTCTTTGTGCTTTTTTATTTTTGAGCACAAAGTGCTCGACGTAAATCCTTAATGAAAAATGTAGTCAATAAACTGTTTCGTTCTTTGTGCTTTTTTATTTTTGAGCACAAAGTGCTCGACGTAAATCCTTAATGAAAAATGTAGTCAATAAACTGTTTCTAATTGGTAAAGTGTACCATCATCCTCTTCTTCTGATGGTCTACCCCAGAAACCATTATAAATTAAATATTTATCTGTACATACATATAAAAGGTGTTTGAATGTGCCGTTTGGAAGTAATTGTGAAATTGGATAATTATAATCCCATAACACATCTGTTATAGAGTGATTATTTGATGTTTGATAACTATAATACAATGTTGATAGTGCTTAGAAAGTTGTAATAACCACTTTTGATGGTGTAGATCGAGTGCAAATTCTGATTATCCATGGAATTAATAGACACATGTTATTTTATTCTACCATTTGATAGTTAGGTTTGTTGCAGCTGCAATGAAATTGATCATTTAAAACTGAAACAATGAATTTGATCATTTAAAACTGAAATTTTGACCATTTGATGATTAGGTTAATTGCAGGCAGTATCAAAGTTATCGTGTGTAATTGTTGAGAACTGAATTAATATTTGACCTCTGATTGATAAATCCTTTTTTACTGAACACATTAACTCATAATTTCTAGGGAAATTAAGGGTGCGTTTAGTTGTGAAAAAATGGACTGTTTTCCGGAAAAATTTTCCAAGAAAAATGATAATTTTGAAAATGCGTTTAGTTCGTCTATTTCCTTTTCCGTTTTCTAAAATTACAAAGAAGTTGAAAAATTTTGGAAAACTGATAATCATTGTTTTCCATATTTTTCTAATTCCAAAATTTTTCTATAAACACACACCAACTCCACCCCATCCACCTCTACCTACCCCCCCACACCCACCCACACACACACACACCCATCCGCACACACACCCACAAACACACACACACATACATATCCACTCACACATACACACACCAACCCAAACACACCCACCCACAAACACACACACACCCATACATACCCACACACACACACACACCCCAACCCGCACACACACACACACACACCCCAACCCACACACATACACATACATACCCACCCACAAACACACACACATACATACCCCCCCCCCCCCCCCCCCCCCACACCCCACACCCCCCCCCCCCACACACACACACCCACACCCACCCACCCGCGCGCACACACACACACAACTTCCCCCCCCCCCCCCCACACACACACACACACACCCACCCACCCACAAACACACACACACATACACATACATACCCATCCACACACACCCACCCGCACACACACACATACCAACCCACAAACGCACACACACATACATACCCACCCATAACACACACACCAACCACCCCCCCCCCCCCCCACACACACACACAACACACACACACACATACATACTCACCCACACCCACCCACAAACACACACACACACATACATACATAGCCCCACAAACACACACACACACCCCCAATCACCCAACACCATCACGACAATCACCGACCTACCATCACCACCACCACCACCACTAACCCGTCACTAGCACTACCACCACCGCTGCCGCCTGTCATCACCACCACTAACACAATTGCCGCCGCCACCACCATCGCCTGTCATCACCACCACCGTCGCCGACCCACTACCGTCACCGCCCCCACTCACACCTTACCACCGCTACCGTTTTTTAAAAATGAAAACTGATAGAAAAATACACATCTAAACATGTTTTCTAATTTTCTAAAACTGAAAATGAAAAATAAATAAGTTTAACTAAACACGTTTTCTAAATTTTTCAATGAAAAATGAAAACGGAAAACGAAAATCGAAAAGGGAAAACAAAAAATGGAAAATGAAAACTATTTTTCCGTAACTAAACGCAGCCTAAGGGTGCGTTTAGTTGCGGAAAAGTGGACCGTTTTCCGGAAAATTTTTCCAAGAAAAATGAGAATTTTGAAAACGCGTTTAGTTCGTTTATTTTTCTAAATTTTTCACGGAAAATGAAATTTTTCCGTTTTCTAAAATTACAAAGAAGTTGGAAAATTTTGGAAAACTGATAATCATTGTTTTCCATATTTTTCTAATTCCAAAATTTTTCTATAAACACACACCCATTTCATCCCATCCACTTCTACCTACCCCCACCTTAACACCCCCCACCCACATACACATACATACCCATCCACACACACACACACTCGCACACCAACCCACAAACACACACACACATACATACCCACTCACACACACATACACCCAACCCCCCCACACACACATACATACCCACCCACACACACACACCAACCCACACACACACACACACCCACAAACACACACACTTACACATATATACCCACACACACACCCACCTGCACACACACACACCCACCCGCACACACACACACACACTAACCCACACACACACCCACAAACACACACATATACATACCCATCCACACACACACCCACCAACATACACACATACACACCAACCCCCCCCCCACACACCCACCCACAAACACACACACTTACACATACATACCCACCCACCCACACACAACCACCCACAAACACACACACACAACCACCCACAAACACACACACACATACATACCCACCCACCCACAAACACACATACACATACACATACATACACACCCACCCGCCCACAAACACACACCCACACACACACCAACCCACAAACACACACACACATACATACCCACCCATACACACACACCCGCACACACACACACCAGCCCACACACACACATACATACCCACACACCCCCACACACCCCCACCCCACCCTCACAGACCCACACACACACAAACCTACACCTACCCCCACAAACACACATACACACACAAACACACACTCACACCCCCACCCACCCACCAACACCACCACAACAATCACCAACCTACCATCACCACCACCACCACTAACTCGTCACTAGCACCACCACTGACAAAATTGACGCCGCCACCACCATCGCCTGTCATCACCACCACTGCCGCCGACCCGCTACCGTCACCGCCCCCACCCACACCCTACTACCACTACCGTTTTTTAAAAATGAAAACCGATAGAAAAATAGACATCTAAACACGTTTTCTAATTTTCTAAAACTGAAAATGAAAAATGAATAAGTTTAACTAAACGCGTTCTCTAAATTTTTCAATGAAAAATGAAAACGGAAAATGAAAATTGAAAAGGGAAAACAAAAAACGGAAAATGAAAATTGTTTTTCCGTAACTAAACGCCACTTAAGTTTTTTTTAGAACGCCGGCGATATATTAAAGAAAAAAGAAAATTAGCAAGACGCTAGAACAAGGAATTACAAGAAATAGTTTCGCAAAGGAGAACAACACCATTGATGCTAATCAATGTTCTCAAAATTAGACCTATTCTTAATCTAATTAAAAGTGAAGCTTTGAATGTCATCCGTCTTCTTTAAGGGGTTCAATCAAACTTTCTTGAAAATGAGCCAATCTCTAGTCTTCCATATAAGCCACAGAGTTGTGTAGACCAACGAAAGCCTAAGGAGGGAACACCTTTTGTTACGAAGAGGAGAATTGAGCAGCAAGAGAAGATCACTTACATTGACCGGAATATAGGAAAAGATAAACGACCACGAAACCAACCAAATTCAAAGCAACTTGGACTTCCCTCCTAATAAGATTCGATGAAAGAGAAATCTTGTTCCAAGAAACCGCCAAACAAAACAATTAACTTTTAACGGGATCCACCGAACCCAAGCAAACTCGAATCAATAACACATGAATCAACGTGAGCCACCAAACTCCTCAAAGACTTGACTGAGAAATTGCCTTGTTTACCCCTAAGCCATTGCCATCTGTCTTCACCTTTGGAAAATGAAAAGCATCAATGGAGATAAGGAAAGCTTCAAATTGGATCGTTTCTCCACCTCTTCTTAAATCACGACTCCATTGCCCAATAAACTGGGAACTCAAATCATCTCCAATTTTGACCCTCTCGATAATACTACAATTTTCATTTTGATCAACCGAATACAAATTAGGATATTTATCTTTAAAAGGCAAAGAATCACACCAAACATCCTTCCAAAAAGGGTATCATTACCAATCAAGTAATCTAACCACTTTTTAACATGTATTTGAAGAATATAATCATTTTTTTAGAAAAAATAACCCCTTATTATTGAATAGGGATTCCGGACCAAGAAAAAACACTTAGTCCTTTGAACTTTAACCCTACTGTTTATCCGCTATTATTTGATATTAATGTAGTTTATAGATATTTTGATGGTTCTTTGATGTGAAATGAATTTTAATTTTGTTAATGTCAAAATTCAGTTGTTGAAGCGAAAACAACAAAATGGCGAGACAACAAAAATGTTACAAGATGAAAGTTTATTTCATAAGTGGTCCGAGTTGCGGTTGCATCGTGGAATATATGAGTGTTTTTTTTACTTATTCAGAAAGAACAACTTGA